TGGGATGTGTCAACCACATGATGACTCGGAAGCTGATATGAAGTCCTGTCGTCACTCATACTCTGTCCAGGTGTGTGTGTGCCATTCAGGTTGAGTAATTTGGCACACAATACTGAAGAATGACGGGTTGTTGTTGAACTGAACTGTTGTTGTTTTTCTATTTTTGCTTTAGTATTATTGTTGAAGAAAAGAAACCGAACAAAAGTTTGAATCTGAACAAAACTTTATTTTATTTTTTTTGTACATTTCTTGGTGAAATCATAAGAGATCATAAGAGAAGTGAAACAAAGAGTTTATTTCATGACTATTGTTTTCTTTATTTTGTTTATTCTTTACTAAGCATTTAGGAAATAAGTGTAAAACTTCTGTTATCTTGGAGTAGGGGCATTCCTACTGTCTTGTGGGCTGATAGAGGGGAAGAGGGGTTAATCAACGCCATTATACTCTGGGTGGGTACCGTGTACGTTATTAAATTCCAGAGCCTCAATCCTCATCAGTCGCTGCTACTGAAGACAAAAGCATACTTAGCAAGGCAAATAAAAACATACTTAAATAAGTACAGGAATTAAATGTACTAGGGGTTGAAGACCTAGATCTTGTCATTTCCCTAGTCGTCCAAGATATATTGTAGCAGAAGTTAAACTCACCCCTACATTGTAAAAAAAAAAAAAAGTTTAGTTTTTCCCCCTGCTGTACCGAAATCATACCGAACCGTGACGTTAAAACCGAGGTACGTACCGAACTGTCATATTTGTGTACCGTTACACCCCTAGGAATTAAATGTACTAGGGGTTGAAGACCTAGATCTTTTCATTTCCCTAGTCGTCCAAGATATATTGTAGCAGAAGTTAAACTCACCCCTACATTGTAGTGAAATTCCCCGCTACAGATAGAATAGAAAAAATATAATTTAATAATAAATTTTCAATTAATTTATACCTGTGTTGTATTATGCTGTATTATGCCGTGGATGAGCACTTTGTAAAATGAATGGATGGATGATTCAGCTGCGGGCACCATCTTCTGGCAAGATCTTCTAGCAGTTCAATCGGCGCGTGACTCTCACAGTACATTATGGGTACTCTCTAGCCGTTGAGTGTACATCAGTTGTACACTCGTTATTGCTCTGCATTGTGGGATTGAATGGGTTCATTTGATAATGTTCACTAAGATTTCGGAAAGCACTAAAAATGGCTGTCCCCTCAAATAGTGCCCTATTTACGGGTATAGGGGGCGATTTCGGACAAAGGGTAATATTCAGGTGAGGGGGCCCTCTGGTGCCAATTTGTAGGAACCACAGAAGCTTGATTCATGACATACTGTTCCTTTTTCCCCATTATGTATTTCAACAATCTTCTAGAGTGGCACTGTATGAATAATATTCACTCATTACTATCGTTAATGCCCTGTTTCTCCTGTAGCAGTGCGCTCACGGAGCTGCAGCTACGCTGGAGTGTTTCACGTGGAGGGGAGAGAACGCTATAGTCTGAAGTTTGATGCGGCCGAGAGCTTGTGTGAGCTTTTAACCTCTTCATTAGCCAGCCTGGAGCAGGTGGAAATAGCCTACAATAAAGGACTACAGACGTGCAGGTTTTTACATTCAGCTGAACATATCTAAATGACAATTAAACTTTCAGGATCATTATTACCATGAGCGCCACCTAAATATGAACATTTTGTGTGCAGGTATGGATGGATAAACAGCTCAGAGGTGGTGATACTCCGTCACATGCCACATGAAATGTGTGCTGGCAACCAAACCGGCATCATCATAATAACTCAAGACAGAGAAAAATATGATGCCTTCTGTTATGATGCTACAGGTTTGATTTGTGCAACATGATGTAAGTTTTAGTCAACACACGATCAATCATCTTTTTAACGAAGCATTGCATTTTAATCAGATATGTCAGAGAAGAACTGCACAGCTATGATTGACCCTGATGGTTTAAACAAAACAGATGTCTCAGCATTTACAGGTATGACAGTTACCAAGGAATAACATTTTAAATGTATGCATTTGGAAGGCACTTTTGTATGACAAAAAATTATATTTAAGGTGTGCAACAGAATGTTTAGATTTAATGTTCACTTTTATATTTAGGATTTGTCTGTTTAGCACACATTATTTTCACACTGGTCTACAGCCAAAATGCTTCCGAAATAAATGTAGTCAACCTTTACTAATTCTGAGTCACTGAGAATGAAAATGATGCTTAAAATTGTTGATTGGCTCTAATTTTCAAGATATACTATTCAGTCAGTATATATGACCCTTGAATTGGAAATGGTGAAGGATGAGTGAGTTATAAAAGGTGTGAACAGTGGTGAAGTTACTAAAAAGCACAGTTGAAAAATGGTTAAGAAAGCCTATCATTTTTATTTTGGCTGCAAAATTGGAGATCAGGACATATATAACCTTTTTGCTGATTTTTAAAGTGTTACATAACCAGGAGAGGTGACAGATACTATGGAAGTAAAAAAAAAAAAAAAAGTAATATCTTTGAAACAGCAGCCAATCATTTGTTTTAATTGTCATATTTGAATTTAGCACATCAAAATCTATCTCTGAAGGAAATGAGTTCTAAAGAATTGTGACCAGTGTTATCTATATTGAGTTATCGTGTACCACCAGTTTTACTAGTTCTAAAGACAAGTTTCAGGAAAAACCTTGTCAAACTTTCCATCCCTGCACAGAACCAATATATTTCTGTAACACCATGACCAAATAAATGTCAAGCTGTAAATGTCTAGTTTTGTTAATTAGTTTTGCTAATAATGGTGGTTGTCTAATAAATTCATGTAAATATCTATAAGACAGCAGGTTGAAAAGCTGTTTCAGAGACGGATATTTTTTTAATAAAATCAGTGCATACACTAAGTTGTGGATAATTGTCATTTCACAGAAGTCGCAACACACCGACCAAATGCTGGAGGGGAAGATTCTGAAAATTCAACATCTGAAAAAACATTTGTGTCTGTCATGTTGGTTTGGGTTTTTGTGTTGTTGTCTTTTATTTTGTAGTTTAGTCCTGTTTCCTAATTTGTCACGTGATTCCCTTGCCCTCATGTATCTTGCCATGTACTCCCTTAGTCAATAGACGTGTTAGACTTCATGCGCCGCTGCACAAACGATCGGCGGCTGACTTGAAGCAGTGCATGCTGGTTAGAAATTCTGTCCGACTTGTTATTTCTGTCCGAATTATATTCTTGAACATATGGCGCTGTATTAAGCAGTATATGAAAAGGGTTTCCGTTGTTTCATGAAAACGTTTCTGAAATGTCTGTGTATTTGACAAATATTGCATTTAATTCACTTCATCTGTGATAGAGTATGCAAACACCACGCGAGCATCACTATCGGGAGCAGAAAGTGTCTGACTTGATGTCTCCGGTTTCAATTCCGCCCCCCAACTGCAAGCGGCTACTCTTGCCGATTGTTCTGTGCAGCACCGCATGAAGTCAAACACGCCTAATATGTCATGTTATGATTGGTTGATTAAGTCATTTGTTTTAAAACACAGTTGTTTCTCATTGGTGGGATTGTGTCATGTGACCTGTATTGTTTGGTATATAGACCTCATGTTTTCCTTTGTCTCTTTTTGAGTTTTGTTTGTGTAACCACTGTTTGGTGAGTTTGTTCTTGTTCTAGTTCTTGTTTCTCCAAGCCATGCCATGCCATGCCAAGTCTTTGTTAACTGTATATTTGCTCACTTTTGGATATCATTAACCTGCACTCGCTTCAGTGAAATTTGTTACAGTGTCTGAGTCCTCTACATTATTCTGTTTAAAGTCATTAAAGGAATTTTAGCAAAATCTGGGTTTTACCATTAGTTCATTCTTTACAAAAAAAAGTAATATACTGTTCGATATCTGGATTGTATGTAATTGTTACTGAAAATGACTTTGCCTTATTTGAACTGTTCTCTCTCTGTGGTTCTGTCTGTGTTACTCCAGAACACCACATCCCAATCAACGGGTCTATAGGTATGGCCAGTGTTTAATATAAATCCTTTATTAAAAGTCATGCCCAAATCAGTCGTATTCATTCTGAGACTACTATTTGCTTTAACAAGCCTGAAATGACAACATGCTGACAAACTGTCACCAGATTGTGAATTATAAGGCTTAGGTCAACAACTCCAGTCTTGGAGGGCCGGTACTTGCCGTTTCTCAAACGGAAGGCTGCATCCTCCGGAGGTCGCATTTGTAGGCTGCATACGTCATAAAGAAGATCTTATTTTAGAATATTAACAGTTATAAATTTGACCATTATTCTTACTTAAAGAGCAAGTCATATGAGTTTTTTAAAAATATCTCTTTTGCAGTTTATAACGTAGCTATCCTAAAATGAAGACAATCTGCAAAGTTATTCAAGAAGTGCATGATAAATGAAGATATTGTCTCTCAAAAGAGAGAGTCGATTCTGAATCGCCTTAACGAGTCGTCATATTTTCGAATCTTTTGCCTGTTACCGGTATATGTCACTGGGTAACACATTTGCATAATCCCCGCCTGCCCGCAAAATATGTGAAATATGCTTTTGTTGTGTGCATGTCATTTTACCAAGGACTGCTTCTCTAATCTTGGCTTTTATCTTCGTTGGCTTCTAATCTTCTTTATTTGGACTAACAAGCTCTCCTAAGAACAACCTGTAAGTACCATTGATACGTTATGTGTATATTTTCAATTGAGTGCTCAAAATATCAAGTTTTTGTGCTAATATGTGATGTATACCTAGTGCAGCTTTAGGTTTCCAGGTAAAGCACAATATTACTGTCTTACTGAAGTAGTTCTGATAATTCGCTGTGAACCCACTATTTCCTAAGAATGTGTCGATTAATGTAGACTGACGTTGTTCAAATTACTTCGTTTAATAATAAAAAATGTACTGTAGCACACAGACTTTATAATCATTGTGAAATTGCTGTTTATTTTGCTGAACGGCAGTTATAGGGTTAATGCGGGAGAGATGAGCGAGTTAATTAGGCTGCTGCGCCTGTGATACAGCTGTTCTGCGTTAAGACACAGAGCGTCTTTTGTCTGTCGTTCTTCAAACATTACAGTAGACATATTTTAGTTTACAAACTGTATTGTTTCATCAGTTAGTCACGTTAGCACTCGGCTAACGTATCCACCATTATTGTTTTAAGTGTTCACAGTTTAGCAGCTAAACTTTAGCTGTGGGCACAATTCGCTTGCATACTGTAAGTGTTTTTGTATTTTATGTAATTATTATAAGAACGGATTGGAGCAATATATTGTTTTATGTAAAAGTGCTTTGTCGGTAGCGCTCGCTAATTTGCTCAAGGACTCCTCTCTGTGCCAATCACAGCAGGCTTGGCCAGCTGACCAATCAGAGCAGAGTAGGCTTATGGAAGGGAGGGCTTTGCTCCGAACTTGTTTGGAACTAATCGTTTCGAAATCATTGGCAGACGACTCTGTAATTTTCTCAGAATATACATTTAATATTAATGTTTTCTGACCTTAGATACATTTAAACCTGTTGTAGGGGACTCCAACACAATATTAGGACACTTTAAAAAAAAAACATATGACCTGCTCTTTAAGCGTAAATTGTTGTAATATGCTTATGACTTGTGAATGTAATGCACAGTTAACTGAAAATAAACCAGGCTTGATGACGTATGCAGCCTGCAAATGCGACCTCCGGAGGGTGGCAGCCTTCCGTTTGAGAAACGGCCACTTTGGAGCTAAACTCTGCAGTACAGAGGCCCTCCAGGACAGAGTTTGGACACCTCTGGGTTAAGGGTAAGTGTTAAACTCAGCAGGACACTGACCCTTCAGGACTAGAGTTAAAAACCCTTGTTTTAGGAGGTCTGATCACCATCTTTGATGGATGGGGAAAATTCAGGTTTGCAGCATTTTCAAAGTACATGTACAGTCGTAATACTACTCAATAAGTGCAGTTTTGTCTCAATTAAACTTGTAATATAAATTTGACCACCCCTGAAACACAATCTGTTATTGACATGAGCAGGTTTAGTAATTGAATGCAAAACCAAAGGCATTGACAGAAAAAAGCAACAATGTTCCTAGCAGCGGCGGACTGAGACAAAAATTCAGCCCTGGCACTGTAACCACAGTGGCCCACATTATCACACCCACACAACCCCACCCACGGACACGCACATTCACTACTTGCATTTGTGTACAGATGGTGAAATAATATAAGCCGTACCGTATGTAACCGATATTTAAACATTTAATGTAAGTGTCTGGCAAACAATGCTTACTACTTGTTAAAAAGCACATGTTTATAACAAATTTACACATACAGTAAAAACAAAATAACAAGAATCTGAGGATGTTGTAGAGTCTGTGTGCTGTCTGTTTATGTCATTTGTCTGCTGTTACGGTCGTTCTCTACAGCAGTGGCGAGTAGTCAATATATGGTAGCTTATGACAAAATTTGATTTATGACTTTGATCTTTGACCCATAATTATATTCATATGCGACCTCTGACATCATAATAATTTCCATATGCGAAAACCGGCGCGCGTGAAATCCGTCCGTCAAACCGGATGACAAATAATGTTTGTACAGCTGTATGAAAGAGCCCAAGGATGACAGGTGATAAATTAAGTATTGTTTTTGAAGATATTATGGAGCATTCCCACATCCAGACTCACGTGTGCAGACATGTCCGTGGTATCAGGTTGCTGTGTGTCATGCTCTCTCTCTCTCTCTGTGCGTTGCATGCTGGGAGTGAGAGAGCGTTGTGAGCGAGCGTGAGTGGTGACTCTCGTGTTGGAGTTCTTTTTTTCTCTTTCTTTTTTTTCTTTTTTCTTGTTTTTTTTTGGGGGGTTTTGTAGTTTGGATCTTTTTTCTTTTTGGGGTTTTTGCTTTTGTAGGGGGTGGTTTGGGGTGTACGGGAAGCATGGCGGATGCAGGTGTGCGGGTCTTGAGCTCACTCACGCGTCGTCACGGTGTAAAAGTGGCGTCTGCAGTGAGCGTGGAGAGCTGTTGTTTAGCTGTGGGTGAAGTTGTGGGAAATAAGAACGTATTGTCTGCCTCAAGGATGAATAGTGCTATCGTTATCTTTTTAAGTACAATAGAAAAGGCTAACGAGTTAGTTCAGAGAGGAATTATACTTGATGGCGTTCTTACCCCCGTTTTACCACTTTCATTATCGTCAAAAAGAGTCACTCTCTCGAACGTACCGCCGTTTATTAGTGATGATGTATTAATGCAAGCATTGTCTCGCCATGGAAAAGTGGTCTCCTCGTTTAAAAAAATTCCAATTGGTGGCATTTCTCCTCTACTGAAACACGTGGTGTCGTTCAGACGCTCAGTTTACATGATTGTGAACAATGACGCTGACCTAGACCTTGCGCTGAATTTCCGAGTGGATGATTTTGAATATGTGGTGTTTATAACCACCGACAGGATTAAATGCTACGGCTGCGGTAAGGTCGGCCATCTGGTCCGAGCCTGTCCCAGCAAACAAGGAACGGCTAGCGCGGAAGGCGCAGCTAACGGCGGTGAGCTACCAGCCGATGAAGCAGCCGAGGTGGAGTCAGCGGTGGCGGTAGGCGGTCAGTGCAGGTTCTGGTGAACGAATTGCGAGATAGCGGTAACCCGGTTATAGCTGGGTAGCAAACGTCTCTGAACATAGGGCAAGATCAGATTTCCATGATGG